GGGGTTGGTCGATGCTTCTCCAATTGTGGGTCGACTTCACCTCTTGGACTGGTTCGAGGTCTCGAGATTAGACTTCAGCTAGGCATTTAGTCAGTTTCGGGAGAAGTTTCTTAGACTGCGGTTCAATATATGTGGGTGGTTGGCCGTGAGTTCTGTTGGTGCCTAGTGCTAGGCTTTGTTATTCTACTATGCGAACGGCCTCTATTTTTCTTTAGCTTTTGTGTTTGTTTAAGTGTGTATCGTGAGTTTTTGTATTTGTGTGTTATTGTGGTGTGTTTTGGGTTGCGTTTGTGTGTTGTTGTGGTTTGTTTTGGGTCTTGTTTTTGTTTGTAGTTTTTAGTCGAGTGCGAATGAATCTCAACCTCGGGTCCTGTCTCTCGAGAAAGGCTATTCAGACACGGATTCAAGCAACGATTGACTGACAAGAAAGAAAAATAAAAAGTCCTATACACTCTACTCGCATTTTGAGGTTTGAATTAAGCTAAAGGTCGCAACTTTACGCTAGAATGAAAGCAAGATTCAAAATTTAATGCACACAAGTCCTCAAATGGCAAGAACAAGGAAAATAGAGAGAAAAATAAACAATGTACCTTAAGACCCGAGATAGAAAGAAGACACTTATAGGTTCGGAATGTAACAAAACAATTGCCACTCGTGAATCAACCTATTGAATTCTCAATCAATACTCACTAACGCAATCAACAACAATTCACTCGTGAATCAATTAATCGAGCTCTCAATTAATTCTCGCTCACGCAATCAACAACAAAATTTCATAAACCCTAGCCTACAAGGATGAATGCACTTATTACTCATGAAAGTCCCTATCTTTACATCCTAGAAAAATCTAATAAGTAATGTCAAGAAAAACTTATTAGATCTTGGACCTTAACCGAAGTTTCCAAGTCCCTATTGCATCTACGAGAAAAAATAAGCTGGAAAATTGCAATCTTGATGAAGAGTTATTACTATAAAAATTAAGTCTTGTAGCCCTTAGAGAGAGAAAGAAAACTAGAGAGAGAAAAAATAAGAAGAAAATCTTGCAAATGAGGAATTGTTCCCAAAATATATACAAAGCAACAAGTCTATTTATACACATCACAAACACACACTAAAAACACTCACATTTAATGAAAAACTGGCAGCGAGCGGTGGAAATATGTGTATCTCGGGCGCGCGCGGTGTCGAGAATGCAAGTCTCACAGGACAACATGCACGGAGGCGCACATGTCTGTGAGGTCTCAGGTCCACCGGGCACTAACCGAGGCAATTGGATGGGAACTCTCCCGGGACTTCGGTGAATTTCCTGGTTATTTTCCTGCGAACTTCCGGCGACTCTCAAAAACGCATATTTCCTACAAAATAAAAGATAAAAAGAAAAATAAAAAGTACAAGATACTAAACGACACGAAAACACAAAAATGCGCACAAAATAATAACAAAACATACAAAACAGTTTTCTCTCGGGTGGGAGCGTGTATTATCCCGGTGAGGTAATTGATTCCCCATTCTTGGAGCTTTTGTTTTTTGGCTTGTAGTTTTGTGGGTGCGTTTGCTAGTGTTGCTAGCTTAGGTTCTAAACGATATTCATATTTGTCCCCTTTTTTCAGCTTATAACTGTTTCATTAGCTTTGAGTTGTTTCTCTGGTTGTACTTTTTTGTGCTTTGGTATAAAATCTCTATCGTTTCGAAATAAAAAAAAATATATAAATATATACACACAAAATTATTGTAAAAAATAAATAGATCATAGCTTGAACAAATAAATCTAAGATATACAAGTATCATCAAATATATATTAGGGATAATCAGCAATAGCCCATGTGCTATGAAACATTTCAAAAAGAATCCATCCAAAACAATATATATTATTCATGCATATGGAGAACTTGATAAATAATTTAATATTATCCATCAATTAACATATATTTCATTCTAATATCAACAAAATCGGATCATTTATGAATTAACTTCATAAATGTACTATATACTACCCTAAAATTAGGGGTATCTACATAATAATCAAATTTGTTCCTATCAAACTATTATTATTAATTTGAATCTCTATTTTCATTTTTCCCAAAAATTACTCCAAATTTAGACTACACAACCCTATATATAATATATTCGCACCTCCCACAACACACTACACTATTCTCACTCCAAAACCAAAAACAAAAATAAAAAGAAATAAATAAATAATGGCCGAGCCACAAAGCAAGCTCCATGCCATCATCTTCCCTCTCCCATACCAAGGCCACATTAACCCTTCTGTCTGTCTTGCTCTCAAGATCGCCTCAAAGGGCATCAAAGTCACTTACGTTGTCCTCGATTATGTTCACCGCAAGTTGTCCAAAGCCCGTCGTGGCGGCCCGAGCAACGACGATTTGTTTGTCGAGGCCCAGAAATCGGGCCTCGACATAAGTTGCTCGACGATTGATGATGGTTTTCCCCTCGAGTTTGACCGGGACCTTAATTTCGCTATATACTGGAATTTCTTGTTTCGTGACTTTCCGGCGCGTGTGGACGAATTCGTGGGGAAGATGATGGGATCCGACCCGGGTTCGGCCCATTTCTTGGTTGTCGACTCGAGTTACGTCTGGCCTACAGCAGTTGCCGAGAAATACAAGCTCGTGCATGTTTGTTTTTCAACACAAGCAGCTTCTCCTTTTTGCTTGGCTTACCATGTGGAGCTCCTAAGAGAAAAGGGCCATCTCGCATGCAAAGGTATGTGTACTCTTAACTAACATGCACGGATTCTTATGTGAGACGGCCTGAGCAGATCGATCTGTCATATTATTTTCTCTTTTAACAAAAATATGTAGAGTTATGCTATCAAATGTGATACATATATTTGTATTAATTTTTAGAGTGATATTTTAATTTGATACCAAGTATGTTAATTTGTTACTAGCTAACTTGTCTAACAATTGACTTATAGCTTGAATAAAAGGGTAAAATTGCACAAAAATCCCAAAATTGTATGGGAAAAAAAATAAAATAAAATAAAAACTCTATTATTGAAAAAAAAAACAATAAAAATGTTTAAAATAAATGAAGTTGACCGTATATTAAATTTTTTTTTTTTCTCAACCTATAGGTAGGCTCCATTCACTGATTCACATTCATTTAAAAGCACAGGTTGATTGATTAATTTATTTAAATGTAAAATATGTTGAAAGGCCAGCCCACACAATTCCCATTCAAATATATAAAGATGTTGAATGGCCGACCAACAATTCCCATAATCAAATGTCACCAATATATAGCATTGAATTTAGTCGTAGGCCCACAATTTTCTCATCTCTATTTCTAAATAGCATTGAATGATACTAGTAATCCACAATTTGCTCATTTCTACCACTAAAAATTCTATGAAGCCATCACATGTTTTTTTTATGGAGTCATCAATCACTTAATGTATTGACACATGTCTAAAGTTTATTTATCGTAGGACACGTGTCGATACACTATTTGTGAATAAGTGTGGATGGCTCCATAAGTCGTGTCATCCGATCACTTTCGAAAGATATTAGTAGGCCCCAAATTGCATTGAATGATAATATTATGTGTTCTAGAAGTTGCTCGTCCGTTAGACGCTCAGCGACTAGAGCGCCTAGGTGGGGCCTAGTCGGCGCTTAGGCGGGGCCTACAAATCAAAATTGAATACATTATTTTTAATTATTTTCACTACCTACAAAATAAAACTATTTCAACTTTTAATAAATCAACACACCTTAATCCAAATAATAAAATTAATATAATATAAAAAAACATGATAACAAAATATTGTAATTAGCATTTAAGAAAATAAAAAAAAAAAATTGTAAAATTGTCATCGAGCCCGCCTTGGAGTGCCTAGGTTCGCCTAGACCCACCTAGGCGCCATCTAACCGTCTGGCCGATTTTTTCAGTCGATTTATACAAATTAGAGGTGGGTCAATTAATCAGCGTGTAGCGCCTAGACACCGCCTAGAGGGTTGCCTAGGCCAATTTTTAGTACAGAGATAATAGTAGGCCCACAATTTTCTCATTTCTATCTCCGTATAAAATTTTGACAAAAATCTTTATGTTCGTTTTTTTCCTTTGTTTCGTTATATTTTGTAATAATTACATTTTTTTTATATAATTAGTACTTAATTATGTGCACATGTATACCTGAAAATAAAATAATATATGTCATATATATGGGTATTATAAATATGAATATTAAATTTAAAATTATAAATTATATATAATAAGCATATCACATTTTATAACTTCAGTCATTACCAAAACTGAATAATATAATTATAAGCCATTTTACTTACTCTAAATCACTATGTATTGCACTAATGTAACGAGTAATGGGAAATGTACAAAGTTAAGTAAGCGCGACCAATTTATTAGTTGAGAAAATATTAATTTATTATTATTCTAGCAATATTTTCCCAATAAATCACTATGTATTGCACAAATGTAATGAGTAATGGGAAATTTTCAAAATTAAGTGAGCGCGACCAATGTAGTAGTTGAGAAAATATTAGTTTATTATTATTATTATTATTATTATTATTATTATTATTATTATTATTATTCTAGCAAATTTTCCCAATTTTAGACACAAATGTGTATTTTATGAAGAAAAAACATACTTAAAAAATGAGTAGTTTAAAAACAAACTAACTTCGATTCGTTTAATAAACCAGCTCAATTCATTTAAGAAAACAAATTAAAAGCTTGAGCTTTAACAAACAAAATCTAGTTGTGTTCACAAATCGCTCAGCGAATAGAAATTCTATGGTTAATTTTCAGTTTCTTAGAGGATTAGTTATTAATCTTTTTCTTACACAATTGTAATACTACAAAACATTTTTTTTTTTTTTTTCCATTTCTTGGAATAGTTGTTGTTTACTAACTCATTTCATATTAGTATTTAAAAAGAAAACTAGCTTAATTTTATTGATATTAGTTATGATGCAAGGTTCACGAACCACTCATACAAATTCCTTCATATATATTAATTCAAAACATGTTGAGCCTAAATGAAATATTCTCAGGTTTCGGATGCTAACATTACGAAAATATATGCATCATAATATTGTTTATATATTCATTTTTGCTCTGGAGTTAGACTTGGTATTAGAATAAATAACTTTTTAAAACTTGGTAAGTTTATATTTATTTTTGTTATTTTTTTCTCTTAATACACATTTCTTTCCTAGTTGGGCAAATAGCAATCTTACCATATTATAATTTTCTCTCATATTTCTCTCATAAATTATTATTTACAAATCACTTTCTGCACTTCTTTTTTTTTTCATCAATTAGTCTTTCAAAATTGTTAAATAAAATTTTTAGTTTAACGATAACTTTTATCATATTTTTATTAACTCAACACCTGTGTAGTATACGGGTATTGTGCTAGTAGTAGTTATACTTTATGTATATTAAAGTATCAAATAAAAGTTTCAAAAACTACATGATGGGCGTTTTAAAAAGTCATAAATAATTGACCCATGTCATTTATAAAAACTCTTTAAGAGATTTAATACATATAGATTTTTCACCACATGATAAAAAGCAATGATTTAAAAATTGTACATACCGGTAGGTATTACCGAATATTGACCATAGGCACGGTACAAATACACTCAAAAAATTAGATTTCCAATAATATTGTTTTGTACAGGTATCATATCGTATATACCACCAAATATCGGTCTTAAATACCAATCTAAAATAATAATAATAATAAAATACCACTGCTGCCATACGCACACTAAAAACCTGATATTTTTTTAAAGGCCAAAAACTGAAAGCATACCTATGGCTGACACTAGTTGATGTAATTTTTTACATAAAAATTTTAGTTTAACGATAACTTTTATCATATTTTTATTAACTCAACACCAGTATAGTACACGGGTATTGTGCTAGTAGTAGTTATACTTTATGTATATTAAAGTATCAAATATAAGTTTCAAAAACTACATGATGGGCGTTTTAAAAAGTCATAAATAATTGACCCAAGTCATTTACTTTAAAAACTCTTTAAGAGATTTAATACATATAGATTTTTCACCACATGATAAAAAGCAATGATTTAAAAATCGTACGTACCGGTAGGTATTACCGAATATTGACTATAGGTACGGTACAAATAAACTAAAATAAACTGCATTTCCAATAATACTGTTTTGTACAGGTATCATACCGTATACACAACCAAATATCGGTCTTAAATACCAGTCTAAAATAATAATAATAACAAAATACCACTGCTGCCATACGCACACTAAAAACTTGATATTTTTTTTAAAGGCCAAAAACTGAAAGCATACCTATGGCTTGACACTAGTAGATGTACTTTTTTACTCTTTGGTATCATTTAGGGCTTAATTGTTTACAGATTATTTTACTCACTTTTATTTTAACTCAAAATCTAACTCAACTTTAACTTAACCCCACTATCTTTAATATTATTCATATAATTAAAATAATACAAACCAATCATTTTTACACATCACGTCAATTTTAATTCACTATTCATCCACTCACATAAGTTTCACTACCAATCATTTCCAATCATTTATATCTTACTTTTACATCAAATCAATTTTAATTATTTTATTTAAAATATTATTTTAATACATTCTTAAAATTCCACTAACAACTAACCATACATCTTTTTTCAAAATTAACTATGGTTAACTAAAATAACTCATTTTGAACAAATTATTTCATAAACAATCAAGCCCTTAATTTTTTATATTTTTAATATGATATCTTATATAAATATATAATGTTATTTGTTAGTAGCCCGGTTATACCAATGGTCTTATCGGTCTGACCGGTAATATCGTATACCCGTGGCTAGGCGGGTATGAACACCGATAAGGTAGTTAAAACATCCATAAAAATTATAAAAGGTTGACCAAAATCAGTCCCTTTAAAAACTCTTTAAGAGATTTAGTTTAATACATATGGATTTTTCTTTATAACCACAAAATTGGCTGCATGACCAGACGACCTGGTGATCGACTACATCCCCGGAGTCCAACCAATCAGCACAAGGGACATCATAACATATCTCGACCCGGGAACCGTGGTGGCCGAGGCCATGACCG